CCCGGTGCCGGGGGGGGCTCGGCCGGGTGTGGGGTGGGTGACAGTTTGGGGGACCCGCGTTGGCGGTGCCCCCCGTGCCCAGGAGGGCAGAGCAGGCTGCAGGAGCACGGCCAGCTCTTGGCTCTGCCCCCGCAGCGAGGGGTGGCAGTCACCCACTCTGGTGGATTTGCCAGCTGGTCCCAGCTCCCACGGCACTGGGTGGGCGGCCCTGTGTCTGGTCGGTGCCGCCGCCTGGCAGCGGATGGCCTGACGTTTGGGGGGTTGGCGGGGGGCTTTGTGTATGTGGGGTGTCTCCAGGGCTGCGCTGGCCCCACAGACCTTGCGCTCAGAGGTAAGTGCTTAACTACCGCACACAGCGGTGCTCTGAGCCACCGCTCAGGCTGGAAGCCCAGGGGTTGAAAACATCCTTGTTTTCTAAACTAGGGAAATGTTAGAATTTTAGCTTTGAAACTGTCAGGGTGACTAAGAGCCTTGTATTGTTATTTTGCTGGTGTCAGGTTGTACAGAGGAGAGTTACTGGAGTAACTGAGTGGTAACGAGGTAGGGCACAGTGTGACTGGCTGCTTATGGTGGATAAGCATATAAATCAAACGTGTGTGTATGCATTTTGTGTTTTCTCCAGACTACAGATAATTATCTTCTGAGCAAACATAATATTTGCACAGCTAAATAGTCAAGGAAATATGACTTGCTGTCCAATATTTGGATAGTGTGCTGAGAAATAAGTAGGTTGTATTAAAAAAACCCAAAACCCAAAAGAAAACAGTTTGGGGTTTATACACTTCTAAGAAACAAGCATTTTTGATTGACTATTGTATATCTCTGTCATGGAATACTTTTTCTTCCTGCTTCTTTTTGTGTGTGTGCAGGTGCTAGGTTTTTATTCTAAATGTGGTTCATCTTAACAGAGCAGTTTTCTAATAGCCTCTAAATGGAATCATTAATGCATTGTGCTTTTCAGCCATTCAGCTTTGGGTGGCTTCTGCATTAATTACCATTTTTATCCCACAGCTATGTTACTCTGGTTTGCCCACATTCACTGACCACATAAAATTAGATATAGGAGTTCTTGAGCGTGTTGTTTACTGGGTCCTTGAAGATTCAGGAAACTGGGTTAGTGTGAGGGGAAGAATAGTGGGTGTCTGTAAATGCATTAGGTCCTTCACTTCCCAGGGTGATCATTAATGGTGTTTTTAAAGACCTTTTCAGTTTAGCTTGTTCCTCTGAATCTAGGCCAGACAAGTAATAGCTTTATGTGGCAAAATTTAGTGTTTTCATAGACAAGGTGAAATGAGTTTTGTGGGCTTCAGCTGGCTTCTTGCATGGGCAGGCTGTTCCTTTTCAAATAACCTATTGCAGATGCATGAATTCAACAGTCCAGGTGTGGGGCATGGCTGCCCTGCTACCCTCGCTGCCAGGGACTGTGTCCAGAGCAGCGTCACAGCTGTGGGCAAGGGGCTTCGTTCTCCAGTGCCATCAAACCTAGGGGTGCTTCCATGCTACTAAATGTTTAAAGTTTGCCCAGTGATGAGTGACAGTGCTTGTTGCTTATTCCAGGCTTTATAATTCTTGCTTTTGGTTTTGCTTTAAAAATGGCTATTCTCTCCTGCAAACTGTATTGTAATCTCTGTTTCCTTGTAAATAAAAAAAAAGAGGAAGTTTCTTTTAACACGTTCTCAGCATAGAGAGAAAGAGTGTGGTTCTGTGTCAGGTCAGTAAGTTTCTATAACTCATCGTGGCCCTTAACTTCTTATCCTAAGGGCTTACATCTCTGCTCATACTGGCTCATCTGAATTATCCCTGCTGAGGTTACTAATCATATGACTGAAAACATACACCTGAAAACTAAATAGCTGTTTCTTCATTTGCTGCTTTTATCTGATCTTTAAAGGGTTGCCTCTGCAATTTCTATGTTAGATTTGTTTAAGACGGAGTAAAGTTGATTGAGTTGTTAGCAGAGTTAATAACTGGTTGTGACTTTCTCGAGCAGAAATGAGTTCAGAAAGTCTTGAATTACTCCAAGACTTCCATTTAGAGAGCAACCTATAGCTGCAATCAAGCACTAGGGAGTTAATAGGTAACGTACACGTTTGAGCACAAGCTGCAGTAATAGGAATTTATAAATATAGGGCTGCCCACAAATTACAGCCTGCAAATTGATGGCTTATAGGAGGCTGTTGCACATACTGAGTAACTGTGAGTCAACTGGGAGTCTCAAAGGATCCTGAACACTGGCATACCCTACGTACTGGGGTATGGTGGGTCTTTTGGTGGGCATTCCTCCTTACCAGTAATGTGTTTGTTTGGGTGACTTCTTTTATCCAGCATCCTTAAAAGATTGTTCTGCCTGTGGAAGAAGATAGTATTAGGAGTCTACTGAGCATATTTTTAGAGCTGGAAGGAGGTGAGCGGGCACCATAGGACCTTGCAGCTGTTCACGACACAGGACACTGTCTCCAGGCACTTCTGATGCTGAATGATCCCTGCTGCGGGGCCTGCCATGGCAGTGCACGAGGAGAGCAGCAGATGGTCGGTTCTGGGTTTGGTATCACTGAGCAAGGAAGCTGAGGAGTCTCCTCACCATCACCGTGAGCATTGCGTGGTGCAGCATTTGTCCCCCAGCTGCACAGTAGGATAGGAGATGTGCTGTGGCACAACTGTTTGTTCACATCACCTCTCAGTGCTCCTGTCTCGGGGAAAAACCTGTACTTTAGTTACATCTGCTGTGTGGCAAGCAGAGTAGGACTGCCTCTGCCCATTCCTGTTTGTAAAGCCTTTTGAGACTTTTCAACATTTTGGACAGGCAAAAATTTCATTTTCAGCTCTGTAGTTACACATACATATTATCTAGTTTCCAGTAGCCTTTGAATGACCATTCATTTTCCACGGGTATGAAATAGCGGGTGTTCAACTTCCTCGGCTGTTCTGCCGATCCACTTGTCTAGGATCCCATCGTGATGAGTCTCACCTAGAAAACAATGTGCGCGTAAGTTGTTGTTACAGACTCTTACTGACTCCCAGTGGGGCAAATTCTTCACAATAATAGGTTTCGCATGTGGCCCGGTACCTTTGCGGTATCCTTGGGACAGCATTGTTCAGAGGAAGCCTTGCCTGTGTTTGAATAGCACTCAGGGTGCCAGGAGGAAGAGTGGAGGAAAAGGAAATGGGGGAGCTGCTGGTTTGTCTCGCATTCACATCAGATGACAGGAAGTGGAAATTGAGGTTGGCTGCGGTGATCTGCACAGCACGGTGAGGCCACATCTGTGCGAATAACTTCCAAGCTCTGGATAACCCAAGTCGTTGCCATAGTAAAGCTTTTTACATGTTCTCACTTTTTTTTTTTTAAAGCTTTGCGTTTTCCGTGATGTGTCTTCCTTCAGTACTGAAGTCCTCTTGGCTTGGAGAACTATTTGTCAACTTACTGTTAATGCCCTCGCTATATTAACAGTAACAAGTCATAATCACAGCCTGAAACTTTTAGTTGTACAAGACTTCAGTTCGAGCTGTTCCATGAAGAGTAGGTGATCTGCAGTTGTAAAAATTGCATGCATGGTTGGAAAATAGCATTTGCATCATCTACGTCCTAAAGATTCTAAATAAAATAATTACATAGGTTCTTCTAGACTCTTAATGAAATTTGTTTTAAAGAAACAACTACCACTTTGCTTCTAAGAAAGTACTATTTGAATGCAGAGGTTCTCAGGAAAAAAAACCAAAACACAAAGTGTTGCACTTAGCGGGGCAACTGCAGGGTTTTGTTGTTGCTGAACAGAATGCAGTGAGAATAATAGTTGCCTTTCCACTGCCTCTGTACTTGCCAAAAGAGGAGCAGCATTCTGGTGATAAGGACTTTATTTTCATATCACTAAAATTGGAAGTGCTTTTCATACAATATGTTTACAGAGACAAACCTGAGGTGCATTTACACATTTTGGGAGCTCTGAAAGTTCAACAGGAGGGGTTTTACATATACATCACATCTCCAAAGCAGGTGTTTTTACTTGTATGTCTGTGACTGCTTGTTGGTAGCTTGAGGTGTGGTGGTGAAACTTGGCGACTGTGTAACCAGCTCCTTTTTTTTCTGGCTGTTGCTTTTCTGTCTCCTTTACCATCTGAGCAGAGACTGAGGGTTTGTAGGCCTCTTGAAAGACCATGTGCTTCGTCTCTATTCCGAAGGATGTGGGAAGCCTTCCATAATCAATTACAATGTGCATATTCCCCTGGGAGATAACTTGGCCCTTCTGCATCTGCACTGCTCATCTGAACACTTGCTGCACCTTCACCTCTTTAAAAGTGCATATCCTGAATGTCCACCGTGACCCATCCTGTGAGATGACTCACATTCCTGGAACTTTCTTGCCTGGCTCCTGAAGCTTAACAAAGGGCTAAAGCCCTTTTCAAACATCCTATCAGGCTTTATTAGGAAAAATGTTGTCTGCCCTTCCTATTTAGACTGTCCCTAAAGTTGCCTGGTGTATTTGGCTGTCTTGGGCCACTACTGACCGTTCATGTCTGGACATGCAAGGTTTCATCCAGTGCCTGGTGCTCCATCTGCACTTTGAGTTATCCTGGTAGGCTTTCAGAGCACTGAGTGTTATCCTGCAAGCTGAAAATTGGGCATAGACTACATGTCTTGCTAATGAATGCTGTACAGCTGATCAGGAGAAGAGGAGTCCTGACTAAGATGGCCTTATTAAATCCTTAGACAATTCTTAAACACTAGGGATGGGGTCAGGCAGTGAACTAGTAATAGGTGTCATTTTCCTTCTAGGTCAGCTAGTGTTGTTAAACACTTTGATCCCAGGGAACCAAAAAAATCTGCAAAGAACTTTCAGGATTAGATGTGGTCTGTACAACAAATGTGCTCCTTATTTTAAGTTGCTCAGTGCACTGGATACTAAGCAGACAGATTTACTCGGCTTTCGCAGTTTTATTGGAAACAGCACACTTCCCACTGGATGGCAGGAAGATAATTGGCTAAATAAGTGTCTGACTTTCATGTGCATGTTGCTGAAAGGCTGTCTGAGCCAGAAGCACTGGCAGATTTGGCCTGGATGATACTCAGGTCTGTCTGGTGCCCTTTTTTGCCTGGTCTACTGTCAATTCCTGGTTGCAGTTTGTTCTGCTTATTCTTCTGTCTTCCTGCTTCCCCACCTCTACCAGGCAAGTGAGAGAGGGGCTGCATTTCTGTATGATCTGGCCATGTCCTTGTCAGTGCACCGATACTGCTTGGCACAGAGAAGGGGTGGGACTAGCAGTGCTTGTACAGGGAGAGAGAAGGCAGCAAGAATAGTGGGGATCCTGAGGGGTGCAGGGTGCTGTGGACTGTGGGCTAGGACTGCCTGTGTGAGGAGAGGAATACGTGGGATGGAGCTTCAGGCAGTCACGTCAGGGCTAGGGAGGGGGACACATGATGGTGCTTATGCTTGAAAGTAGGTGTGATTTAGAGAGGCAGGAGGCAAAGCCCTCCCAGAGCCTAGGGAGCCATTGCATAATTGTCCAAAAGCCAGCTATTAGTAGATCTTCTGCATGCCCTTCAGCTAGCGCTGCTGAGAGGGAAGCTTTGTGCCTTGGGGTTTTAGAGCAATTGCTGATAATGCAGCTCTGAGCTATGGATGCTGAAGAGTTGATGTACAGGGCACCCACCTCTGCAGGTATTTGGAAATACATGAATGACACAACTGAACTGCTTATGTTACTGAGTGTGAAACGTGCGTGTGTGTCAGGGGGTTCCTCTCTATCTCCTCACTTTCAAAGTGATGGAAGGTGTCATAAATGTCTTCTCTCCCCTTCAGGTACCACCTTCTCAAACTCCTTCAGAAGTTTGGCAAAGTAAAGCAATTTGACTTTCTCTTTCACAAGTCTGGTGCTCTGGAGGGGCAGCCGAGGGGTTACTGTTTTGTAAACTTTGAAACCAAACAGGTATGTTGCTTTTATCTAAAATTCTGATTTAAATGCCTGGCTTCTTTCCCTATCTTTTTTTTTTTTTTTTTTTTTTAATTTAAAGCTAGAACAGGAAGGGATAAATTAAATACCTTGTCCACACAAACCCACAGACTCATAACAGCTCCACTCTGTGACAGCCACTTTGTGACTGCTCCTGGAAGTAGCAATAGTGATTTCCTTTCTCCTCTGCTGTCTTTTCCTGAATCTTGCTTTCTAATGCTAATCAGAAGGGGCCAGTTCTTTGGTCCACTTTTGTAGTGAGCTCATGGAGTTGTACCGTGGAGATGCTGTGATCCATGCAGAGCCTTGGATCAGCCTGCCAGACCATCTGAAATCCAGAACTGCTCTGAAGTCCTCCTAGTTTTTCTTTTGGCTTCATGAATGCACAAACACCAACTTGTGCGATGCTGCTGGATGTACAACATGACACATCTGCAGCATCCTGGAGTGAACTGCCCCTGGCTGTCCATTTGGGGTTTTAGCTCTTGTTACAAATCAAAATTTCAAGTCATGCTCACCTGCAACATCAGAGTTGTAGTTATTTTGTCATAATTCTGCTAGAATCGTTCAAAAGTTAGGAAGAACAGCGTGTATAGAGACTGCTTGTGGTTGTATGACCCCATCCTTTTGCTGTGCAGTTGCTGGTAAGGATGTCAGAAGAGCCCTGGCACAGTGTGTTAGCTCTAGAAAATTATTCGTAGCAAGGTGGAACAGCATTGCAACATAAATCTTCAACTGCTGTGAATCAAGTTTTATGGGAGTGTCCCACCACTGAGATTCCACTGCTGAGCCTAGAACAGGACCAAATGGATAATGTCCCCAGTGCACATGAGCAGGATCTGAAATAAGCATAGACAGGTGTTAATGAGGCACGTGTAATCACTGTAATGAGTCACGGTATTTTCTAGAGAAACTCCTGTAGCACAAACCTCCCTCAGAATGCTATTCCAGTAGCCTCTGTGTTTGGTATTTTCAAAAGTCCTGACCATTTTCCCCATTTCCTCCCCCAAAACAAGTGAAAGAATAAACCAGTAAGGCTGATAAAAGTCTGGTTACTCAGATGTTGGAGTCTTCCAAAGATATTCCTGGATTGGGATACAATGGGATAAACTTTCTTTGCTGTCAGTTAGCTGTACTTACAGAAGACTGATTAACAAAGAAAAAAGGCTCTTTACATCTGAGTTGGTTTTGACTAAAGACTTGCTTTGTTTATTGAACTGTCTTCCTGTGCAGGAAGCAGAAAAGGCGATCCAGTGTCTCAATGGGAAGCTGGCCCTTTCCAAGAAATTGGTGGTGCGGTGGGCACACGCACAAGTCAAGGTAAGGTGGGAGCTGTAAATAAGAATTGCTTTTAACTTGCAAAATTGAAAAACTTTTAATATTAAGGAACAATACTTATCAAGGCTGTCTTAGCCTGGCAAGATAATTTCAGTCTATTTTAGGAAATAACTCTCACAGAAACGGTATTAACAATCTACCACTACTCTTGTCTACCTGAACTGTGCTGGATTAGCTCTGCGTAAGAATAGGCCATTTAACCTGATGTTCTTTGTAAGGGAGTTTCTGATACGAGCGGTGTGAACAGATTACATCTATCTTAACTTTTCCCAAACTTAGTGAGTGATTGGCTGAAGGTTTGAATCTTTCCCTTTGCGGTTTTGCTCCCTTTTTGGATAGGAGATGCATGGAAATTCCCAATTACCAAGTACTTTGTTCCATTTCTGAAAGCACTCATGTGGCAGCCGCTCTAATTACTTCCGACTTTAAAGCAACATATTTCACATCTAAGCTAAATATCCTTTTATTGCTTGCTCGGTCAAATAAAACATCACGTTTTTAATATTAACTTAGGCAGCACCTTCTGGAACATCCTTGTTTTAATTTTTTCAAATTCTTGTCTTGTTTCTTCTGCAGTTATTTACTATCTGGTATTTGATAAAGCAATTTATTTTGAATAACTTTATTTGCAGATAAATGGATTTTCGGGGAGGGGGGAGGGGAGCTGCTCGTTGCTATTTTCCTTTGGGTAGTTTGCTTTTAGCGTGTGTCGATTATCCTACAAGCAGCTTCCTACCCTTTCTCTTATCAAGTGTACTAGTGCATCTGTTTTGGATGCTAGAAAAAAACAAAACAGGTATCTTCGTTGAAGGAGACCATGTTGTTTTAATTACTGGCTTCAAGGGCTCCAGGCTCTTGTCAGCACATCCAAGCTTGCGCAAATCCAAGTCTCCATTTTCTTTAGCTCTGTAGCTACTAGAGTGCCACGTGCTTCCGGATGCCTGAAGAGTGATCAGGCCGTAAAAGGAGTTTCAGCCAGAGGAGTGAGTGTCTGCTCAGCTGGGAGTTCAGCGGGGTAGCACAGTGCTTGGCTGTCCAGGGTATGGTAAAGAACATGCATAAATAATCAGTTCAGTTTGCATGGCACTTTCTAATCTGTGAATGGAAAGATTTAACAACACAGAACTTTGGCTTATTGTAACAAGTGTTTATTTTAGACAATACCAGCACCATGCTAAGTAGTTTAAGGATGAGTGGCCAAGGCTTAGCAGATACTGTTGGTTTGAGCAGCCCTGCTGAAAAACAAACCTGACTGTGTGCCAAGCGAAATAAGGAAGCAGAACACTGCAAATAGTTCAGGAGGCCCATTGCCCGCAGAGATGACAGACTCACAAGCTGCTTTCTACAGAACGGAGGTGGTTCCTAACTGGTCTTTTCTTTTTTTTTCTTTTTTTTTTTTTTTCTTTTCTCCCAGCACTGCATGATTTTGTACAGTCATGTGCTTGGGTTACCTCCTGACCCTGCACAATGTCTGTATAAAGAGCATAGCAATACAGTACAGTAGTTACCTTAAAATTTATCATCTTTGCTTCATGCCTTATATAGAGGGGAACGAGAAATGATAAGACAGGGTAAGGTTTAAGGATCCATAGTACAATGCACATAAATGTTCAGTGTCAGAGTCTACATTCCATATTGGTACTAATAAATACTATAGTTGGGATTTGTTTCAGTGTTTGATCACTGTCCTGGTTTGGCTGGGATAGTTAATTTTCTTTCCAGTAGCTGGTATAGTGTTATGTTTTGGATTCAGTATGAGAAGAATGTTGATAACACACCGGTATTTTCAGTTGTTGCTAAGTAGTGTTTAGACTAAGTCAAAGATTTTTCAGCCAGCAAGAGGGCTGGAGGGGCACAAGAAGTTGGGAGGGGACACAGCCAGGCCAGCTGACCCAAACTGGCCAAAGGGGTATTCCATACCATGTGACGTCATGTCTAGTATATAAACGGGGGGGGGGCAGGTTGCTGCTCGGGCATCAGTCGGCAAGTGGTGAGCAATTGCACTGTGCATCACTTGTTTTGTATATTCCAGTTCTATTATTATTATTGTCATTATTGTAATTGTATTATTGTTATTATTATAATTATTATTTTTTTCCTTTCTATCATATTAAACTGTTCTTACCTCAACCCACAAGTTTTACTTTTTTTTTTTTTCCTGATTCTCTCCCCATCCCACTGGGGGGGTGGAGTGAGCAAGCAGCTGCGTGGTGCTTAGTTGCTGGCTGGGGTTAAACCATGACAGCCACCAAAATAATTCCTAGCAAAAGATTCACAAAATCTGAAGTGATGTTAATCCAACTTTAAAGTGTATCTGTGGGCAAATGTTTCTTTGTTCGTAATTCCAGCTGACTTCGGTCCTTAATCTCTTGTTCACAGAGATATGATCACAATAAAAATGAGAAGATCCTTCCAATCAGTCTGGAGCCATCTTCCAGCACGGAGCCGCCCCAGTCTAACCTAAGGTAGGAGATGAGAGGTGACCAAGCCAGGAGTGGCAGGGAACTAACTTCTTCCAGTTTCACTAAGATCAAGAGTTTTTGGCATCACATTTGTGCTAAAAATCTAATGTGGCAGCAAAGCTGTTTTAAAAAGGGCAGCAAGCTGCACAGTAACTCATCTGACGTCGGACACTTCATACTTGAAGTTCATTTTCTAACGCGTGAAGCTACTAGGGCAGTAGGAAGAAAAAGACCTGAGGAGAGGAATTGGGAATATGTAACATTCCAGCTCCTATGGGCAGAATGTGCTTTGCATTTCTTCATATGAATATCAGTGAGAGGTTTTGCACTGTACTAATATGAGTAAGCAAGAATTTCTGCTATAGTGGCAAACGATTAAAACAATCACAGGTAGTAGTTCACATAATTTTTTGTTTTGTTTTGTTTTTTTTTTGCCAACATTAGGGCCGGTAGGTCTTCTCTGTGGGATGTGGTTAAACTCTCCAGTCCCTCTGTTTACCTAAAGCACATAGTGCTGCTTTGCTAATTCACAGTGTGATTGAAAGGCTATGTGATTTTTCCTGTGTGTTCTGTCAGTGGAACCCTATAAGGAACTGGGACTGGGGATAATGAATTTGCCTACAGATAAAATGAGCTTGGAATTCAGAAGGAACATGCTAGGAAGTAATGAGTAGAGAGACTTGAGCCGTGCCGATTGTTAGCTACGTCAGTGCCACGAAGGAGTTGTTTTAGTGAGGATGGATGCTGCAAGAATCCACAGCAGAGAAGGGAACATTCCTCGGTCCATACCCAATGGAGGACAGTGAATAACAAAAGTCCTAGGAATTTGGGGTGTAACCTAGGATAGGTTCTCCCTCTGGGATAAACCCTGCTAATGCTGAAATAATGTTTCTTCCTGACCTAATTAGAGTCTGGGGTTTTCCCATCCCAAGCGGTCTTGTAGCTGGGAGGAAGTCTGGCTTTCATTTCTCTGCTGTTTCCAGCAGCCTTGTCTGAGCTGTGCTCTCTGCTGCACATGCTCAGACCTCTTTAAATGACATCATTTTACATGAGGTAGGAAGCCTTGTTGTGTACTTGTCTCGCTTAGTGTCCTCAAGAAAGTGCTGAGTAGGTGCAAGGACCGTTATTTTGTGGTGCTGTGATATATCTTGGAGGAGCAAATCTGTGCTGAGGGTTGAAATGAAATAGCATGGGCTTTAAGCAGTAGATTCCTGCCTCCCAACTTCATGCTGCTTGTGAATGCAGCGATGGGGGCTGCCTAGCCCCTCCTCGTGTGACTAAGTATTTGCCTGTCAACAAAATCTCTGGATTGCTGTAGTCTGATTCCATGTGAAGATCAAGCTCAATTTCTCTTCTGCTTTTCCTCTTTCCAGTGTCAGTGCAAAAATAAAGGCCATCGAAGCCAAGCTGAAAATGATGGCAGAAAATCCAGATGCGGAATACCCTGCAGCACCTGTTTATTCTTACTTCAAACCACCGGATAAGAAAAGGACTACTCCTTATTCCAGAGCTGCCTGGAAATCTAGAAGATGATGCTTATGAATGGACAATGGTAGCAAGAAACACTGCTTTGTATACCTGGAGTCCTCCGATGCTTTTGTACTTTGTAGAGTGAGAAGGATACTGCCACCTGAGCACACCACCACTGTACGTGGCACAGTGTTTTGTAACACCTTAGGTGGTCTGCTGAATACTCCTTACTGCCAGCGCAGCTTCACAGCTGAACGCTGTTCAGAAAAGTAGGTTCCCTTCAAAGCCTCTGATGAACACGCAGACAACCTCTCGTTAGTGTGCATTCATTAGCAAGATTAGAAACAGTAACCAGTGTGTGGAGTAAAGCACATCCAAAAATACTCCATTTAACTGATTACTTTTTAAAGTATTTTTGAACAAAAAGTATTCTGATTTGTGTTTTTAATGGAGGGGAAGCACTTGGTTTTGATTAACATTCTGTAGTTACCATGGAAAACTTTTTCATCTCAATAAAACTCATTTTAAATAGATTTTGCAACACTTTTAGTAACTGTGCATGCAATATTTTATATGCACCAAAGCAAATTTGTTTTGCATTTTGATTTGCAAACTTTAAGGTATTCCTTTGTGATGCAATAACCTTAAGATAATGACACAGCACAGGTATTTTCAGTGTCATTTAGGCTGTAGGTATGTGCCTCCATGTAGGAATTAGTGTATTTACACACCACTGAGGTCTGCGCCGTGCCCTAAGCCTCAGAGCGCAGCAGTGACATATCTAATGTTTCGTTCAGTAATCCCCTTCAGTGGCAGCTCTTCATAAACCAGATGTGACAGCGTGAGAATAACATTGCAGCCTCCGAGACATCTGTCAAGCATGTGACCTCAGCGTTTGCCCACCAACCAGTCCAACTTGTGGTTTTCACTGACCTCTTGGTGTAAAGTGGCACAAGTGTTTGTGGCGAAATGGTTCTGCTGTGTGCTGAGGATTACCTGCACCAGGTGCTTAATTTACAAGTCTGGCAGACAGCATTTTGCTTAAACCATTTGAGCTGCAGCACATCTTTCTCCCTAAACGTTATCTGCAAAATAGAAATGCGAGGAAAAAAACATTGCCTGGCAGCGTTTTCTCCTTAGTACACACAGAGTGCTGTGAGTGTGTGTGGAGGGGGGGATGTTGGAGAACGTGTGTGCTTGAGTCCAGGAGATACGGGTCTGATTTTCCCGATGCCTGCTCTCTCTAGTCCTGTCAGTGGTGAATCTTTACCTCGTCGGTCGCTCTTGAGTTGCTTCCCCAAGCTGGTTAACAGTGGTTTCAAACAAGAGGGAACGAAATAATTTTTAAACAGCCCCTGATTTCTGTACGCAGGTGTTGCTCACTGGCATGGCAAAGTAAGGTTTATATTCCTACAGCGATGCACCTACCTCCAAGCAGAGCACGCTTCCTGCTTCCGAACCGAGCATCTGGAATGGACCTGTGCATGTCTATGATGGATGGATTGTTAAAAGCCTGAATTGTTCAAAAGTAGGTCTTGTGATGTTAAATACTTGCTTTCTAGTTTTTGGGTACCTGAGTAAAGAGAAAAGTAGTATCATTGGGAGTTTGTATCCCTATGAATGTCAATAACACCCATTTACATTCCTCTGTGAACAGCCTGTGTTTTGTTCTTGCGTGGTCTAACGTTTGTGGTCCTCCGTATCTGTATCTGCGTTATTTAGAACAGCAATCAATTCTATTTCTATTAGGAATTTAGAAAATACCTAGATGCAAATCGGGTATGTCGTCGTGTTCCCATCAGAAACATACTTGGATATTTATTTGTATTTAAATACAATTTGTTGAAATTCTTACAGCTCTAAATAAACATTTAAAATGCATGTTTTCCTCCAGGAAAGTGAGGGTGGCAAGCAGGAAGTGAGGGTGGTAAATGCTTGGCATCAGCCGAAGTCCACTGATAAAAATCTGGGTACAATAGCATCAGTCTTTTTTTTTTTTTTCTTAATTTTTTTTTTTTCTGCACTACCACAGTCACTAACAGAAGTGCCTTGTCTGTTGTTCAGCCAGACTCAGACCTGGGGAAGCTTTATTGCAGGTCGGTGTTTGTGTCGGTCATTCCCGCTGCCGCCGGCCTGGCAGGCGCTTGTGCTGCTTGTGCTTCCCAGGAATGCTGCGGCTTCCCGAAGGCCCCGAGCCTCTTCGGCAGCCGGCGGTGATAGCGCAGTAAAACCAGAGAGTTTCTAACCCTGGAGCTGGGAGGAGGCAAAGGCTCAGTAACGTTTTTTTCATGAGCGTCAGCTCTGGGGCTTTGCATATCAACTGTCATAAAATAGGTTTGAAAAGCACCGGGAAGCGTGGCATCGCTTTGGCGGAAGATGCGGCTGGCTCCAAAGCCGTAAGTACGGAGGTTGGCAGGCTGGCGGTGGGAAGGAGAGCTGGGCTTGGTGCCCGGCTCCCCCGAGGAGGAATCTAGGGGTTGATTCTTACCTTTGGCTTATGGCCCTATCCCCTTAGGGGTTGCTTTGCTTCCCCTGTATTTCCAGCAAATCCCCAGGGGCATGGTGGGGTACCAAGGACAATGTTCACCGTGTCCATGGTGTGGGTTTTTCCTCAACGATCTTCCTGCCTATGGTGAGACTCCCTCACTTGGGGCGGGTACGGAATCACGCCTTCACCTGTGGGAACACATAACATGCCCAACCCCAAATCTCGGGATTCTGGCCGGGTTGCTCGGTGACAGGCATCCCCGTTGCTGCCTCCTACCAGCGCTGGTGGAGGGAGCGGGTCGGGGGTAAGAAAGGGGATGAAGTTGGTGTTAATACCCTGTAACTTCACTGCTTGGCATTCCCCAAGTGCTGCCCGGGCCGTGTTCCTGGTGCAGGCAGCAGCTGTGTAACTCGTGCTTCGGAGATCTACCTGCCCTCAGCAGGCAGCGCAGGCAGGTGACCCGCTGCCCACAGGGCCGAGACTTGATCCCAAGGCTGGGGAAGGCAGAGGCTGGGCTGAAGTCACCCTGTTCCTCAGCCCATTCTGACTTTGCGGGGCCCAGAGCGCCTGCTCTGTAATTATGGGAGTAGAGAAAGCCGTCAGCGTTGCTGTGCCGTGGCGTGCCGTGGCCGTTACAGCCCTGCATCGCTTTCGGATGCAAACAAAACCCGCGTTGCCCTGTTCCGACCGGCGCTGTGTAGGGGGCCAGACGGCTTTCATGGCTGTGTCCGTGAAAACTCCTACGTGTTTCTTCTGGAGCAGTGGGAGCTCATTCAGACCCCGCCAGCGTGGACGAGCGGCTTAAATTGTCCTTTCTCAGCACCGCTCCTCCGCACTTGCCCGCGTCGCCCCGTCGCTCTGCCTCTGCAGAGCCGAGGACCGAGGGGAGGACGAGCCGGCGGGCCTGGGGCCGAGCTTCCTCGGGGTTTCTCGGGCTTTCTTGCAGCCCCGATGCTTAAACCTAATGTCTTGTATTCATTCTAAAATGGCTTTCATCTGATTTCCCTCTCGGTTAACAATTTAGCTGTCAAAACCAATAACGGCGAGGATCCATCCCCGGCCGCCATCAGCTCACGTTACCGTCCTGCAATTAACTCCGTGGTGGAACCGCTGCCGGGGCTTTGCTGGGGAATTATCAGGTTACTAATAAAGCCCGGGCAGAGGCGGGCGGCCCAGACGCCGCGGCGGTGGGCGCGATCCCGGCCTGCCGCACCCCAGCCCGCCCC